CACCACCGACTAATAACGCAAGTGCATTCTGTAACCTGTAACAATTTGTAATTATTGTTATTGTTATAGTTATTATTAGTGTTATCCTGAAAAATGCTTTTTAGTAACGAAGAATACGCAGATATTCATTTTTGTTACGGATTTTGTGAAGGAAATGCGGAAGCGGCAGTTCGTGAATATCGAAGACGTTATCCAAATAGAAGAATTCCAGATGTCTTCATTGGAACACATCAAAAGTTTCGTAACTTTGGCCAGCGTGTTAACAATGAACATAACAGAAACCGTCGCAATAACAATCGGAATCATATTCTTCGTACTTTTGATGACGAGCCGAGGCTTAGCTCTCGCAGAGCAGCTCGCGACTACAAATATCCAAGTCTCAAATATTACGAACATTACGTGATGACCACAGGCATGCATATCACCTACAGCCCGTTCAGGATTTACACCCTGGGGATGCTGAAAAGCGAATGAGGTTTTGCCAGTGGCTTTTAAACACGACGGAAGAAAATCCTGACTTTTTGCACAAAATTCTGTGGACGGATGAATCCTCATCCAGTAGACGTGGATTAACGAATTACCACAATATCCATGTTTGGGCACATGAAAATCCTCGAGAAATTCAGCCACGATTATTTCAAAATGAATTTTCCGTAAATGTTTGGCTGGGAGTTTTTAATAATAATGTTTGTGGTCCACATTTTCTACTCCCAAGGTTAAACTCAGAACTATTTCTTGAATTTCTTACTAATAACCTGCAGGATTACGTCGAGGATATACCCGTTAACTTAAGCCATGAAAGTTGGATACAACTGGATGGAGCGCCCCCGCATTTTGGAATAGCTGTAAGAGAATGGCTAAATACTAATTATCTGCAACGTTGGACTGGTTAGGGACGAATGACATGAATCATGACGTGGTTAATGGTATTGGACCAGTGGCCTGGCCACCCAGGTCACCGGATCTTAATCCACTGGACTTTTACGTTTGGGGAAATGTAAAAGACAAAGTATACCCTACTCCAGTGTTAACAAAAGATGATTTAGTTTTAAGGATTCAACAAACCTGCAATGATATGCGGCGAAATCTAAATGAAGTAGCTGCTGCAATAAATTCATTAGTTACACGATGTCGAAAATGTATTGAGGTGGTTGGACTACATTTCGAGCAATTTCTTTAACTTACATTTTTATTTTATTTTGTTGTTGTTGTTTTTGTCCAGCATTAATTAAATCTGTTGTTTTTCCTGTTACAGTTTCATTAACATAAAAAATGAAATTAAATTTACATTGTATGTAAAAGGGTTTTTTATTTATTTACTCGAAAATGCCGAGTCGTACAGAAAAATCGAAAGCAGCTTTTTTCTTCCAAATTGAATGGGGAATCCAAAACTGATTTTTATTTTATGCGAAAGCAGTGGCGTACCAATTTTTTCTTTATAAATATCCAGTAACATGCTAGTACGGACGCCACTGGCAAAACTAAAAATAATGTTTTACATTGCAAAACATGCTCTTTCAATGGTAGTTAACATCTACAAAATTTAATTGAAATATCTTTAGCCGTTTGTCAATAATTAATAAATTTTATTTTTTTAAACCAATCTTGCCTCCTTAACGAGGCATTTTTCGAATATAGTTTATATATCAAACTCATATTATTTTTTGAATCTCTATCGGAAACTGGACCACCCTGTATAGATTGGACGATAATTAATGAATTATGAAAATATTTTGGGTTGTAAGTAATTTATTTATTATTCACGTTGATTATATTATTCTATTTTGAAATTTCTTACTTAAAAAATAAATTAAGTAAAAAATTATTAAAATACATAAATAAGTCAATACAAAAAAATCATTAATTATCAAAAACAGAAAAATTCTACATTTGAACACAAATTAAAACCCCACTTTCAAAAACACAAAAACACCCTGTATAGTATAATTTAATTGATAAAAACTCACAATAAACCACTACTCCTAGGACTACCTTTTAATAATCACATATTAGCTATATAAATAAAACGATTGGAACATGGTAGACATTAACACATGTTGAATTTATAAATAATTACAAATGGTAGATGAATGTTTATTTAAACACTGGATGTCTAGACTGGTAAATAAATAAATACCAAGATACGGGATATCTTATGCATACTTCCACAGTGGAATATATTGTCGTTTGTCGTTCGAAATTATTTGCAGTATTTTATAGAACTGAACATGCCATATATGCATATATTTCTTACACACCAATCATACTATCAAATGCTATAGGGTAACCTTATCCCATTTCGTGATTACATCCCATGGTATTTATTACATATGTAAAAAATATGATAAGAAGGCAAATGTGTGGAAGGAGATTAAAGAGTTTTAAAACCTACTTCTAAAGAGTTCAAATAAAAAGATAAAGATTATTAGCAAAGGTATCTTAAACCTTCCCAGCATACTAATCTGAAATATATATATTTTTTAACTATTATAGGTATAAATATATCCATACGTTACTAATTATTAAGTATGTAAAATTATGTTTCAAAAGAATTATTTTTGTTTTATAAAATACGAATTTGATATATGTTCTAAAAATATCTGACATTTTTAATAAAAAGGATATGGTACAACTTTTTTAAAACACTGTGTTCTAGTTTAGATCAACTACATCAATCCACTCGTGATATGACAACAAAGCGTTGAGCGTTCAAAAAACAAACAACCAACGTTAATTCAGTGAAACGAGAAAGACAAAATATGTCGCTATCCACTACTTCATATAGTACATTTATTTTAGTTTCCAGTTTATTGATTTACAAGGTATTTTTATTACGGTAGGTCATCTGGCGACTTTTTACTTGAGATATTAGTTGTAATTAAGTTCAATTTTGCAATATTTAAAGGAGTATTTGGTACTGTTTTTTATAAGTGCATAATCTTATATAGTTATTTATATCGGTGTATTTGTGTGTCTTCATTGTTAAATGTCGAAAGAGCTAAAATTCAAGATCTTTCCATTACTGATTAGATAGTGAATAAATTTAAAAATTTTTCAAGGTAAATAGTTAATAAAATTTGAAAAAAAAAACATCCCCCAAGTTTTATGCCAACATTAAAATTTGTTTGGAAATTATTCCAAAAAAATCAAAAAAATCCTGTATTTCAGAAACTAAGCATTTGTGGACTCACGTTTATAGGAAAAGAAAGTCTTATTCTAACCTCAAAAATACGCCCCTAAATTCTTTGTACTGAATTTTGAATCACCCTGTATGTTAGTAAAGGTTAACGGTAGCTTCCAAATTAACCGAAAGAGATAAATATTTCTTGAACAACCAGACAACCTACCTCCAAACAATGGATATAAATAGTAGAAGAAGAATGTTAAAAGAGAATATAAGAATCAGATGGAACTTACAGCGCATGAGTAGAAAGACGATCTTATGCCAAAAATTATAATACTGCTTCAATAGCGGACAGTCCTTTGGTATAATAAAGTAGAAGAGTATAAAGTTTCACGTGACTTGCGGGACGATTATTGAATTCTAACCTATAATTGGAATTTGACGCCAATCGACGCCATTTTTAAATTAAAGAAGTACATATTTTATCTCCAATACACCTTGCATGAATTCTAGAAGATTCTTTTTCCATAACTCGTCTGTGATGATCATCAAAACGCACAATTTTGCTTAAATTCGTTCCCGACTCATCGCTCACCTATTCCGAGTTGTTATCACATTTATTTTCCAGAGTATATCAAATTCCAGTCATTATTTTGCCAACTGACTTTTTTCGCACTTGTGTAACATATTTATACTGTTTCAGGAAAAATCTTATCGAAAATTTCACAATAGTATTTTTCAGCCAATTAAAGGCCTGTATTTTGTAGCGTTACTATAGCAACTAAGAAAATTTCCGGAAATTTTTCTCTTCCTTGGGGTAAGGAGCATGAAATTACACTGGAAATTTTTTGACATTTATAAATAAAATGACATTTATATTTAACTTCAAATTTATTCTATCATAATTTAATAAGTACAAATCATTTATAAATAATTTACCAAGTATGTACTTTTAGTAGTTTTAATTAAAGCGTCCAAATGTTGCTGAAATTCCTCAGCCACGTCTTCTTTTCTTAATGGGGAATAAACGAGCACTCATTCACTAAAATTTATAAAATGTCTATGTTTCAAAAAATAAATGTAGTACTTTGAAACAATCTTATTCTGCTGTGATCCACTAAGAGCTCCATATTTCTTACACATAATAATCCCAAACAAGTTTGGCGAATAAATTTCTGGCCCGCATTCTTGTAATAAATACATTAAAAATTTTAGGTTCCGATGATACATTTTAATTTCACTAACTTTTTTGCAAAACTTGCATAAAACGTATTTCTCAAACCGCTCCATTTTTCAATTGTACAACACAACGATTTTAAAGAAAATGGTCAAATAACGTCAAAAGTCACGATTACCTTGTTTGACATGGATTCCATGGCCTTCTTAATAATATATACATATGAATTTTATTGATATTACATAGTGCTTAAGGTTCTTTGTAAGAAAATATATTTCTACCAACTTTTGTAAAATGAGTATGTGGAAAACTGAGGGATTGATCTACTATCGACTTATTTTTTATTATTTTGCTTAACTTAATTTTCTTACCGAATACCACTCTAGCTTCAATTAAAAACTGGAAATTTTTTCGAGCACACGAATATTTTGAAAATTCTCCCGAGTCGAAGACGAGTAATAATTGAAGCTCTAGTGGTATTATAAGTGAGAATTCTAGAACTGTAACTGGGAAAAATATTAAATTTCCAATTCGTCTTTAAATCTTCTAGAACAAAAAAGAACTGATAACTCTACCTATACTTCTAAATATATCCTCTCCTCTCAGCTATAGAAATAATTCGGTACCTGCTCACACGTAAACAAGATGGTTCTTCCAAAAATAGAACACCGTCTGCATTCACAATCACAAATAACTCACCTTCGATGGCCTTATCATCGTCCACAAAAGAGTTGACCCTCAAGAAACTGGGAGCGTTGACGATAGTCAACTCGTCAGGATTGGTGGGCACGTAGACTCCTCTAGAACACATCGTGACCCCCAGAAAGTTCCAGTTCAAACTCGAAGCAGCGAAGTTTTCTTTGTGTTTTCGTTAGCGGAATAGTACAGGTTTTCAGGCCAAAGATCCGAGAAAAACTAAGTTGGCATTGACTGGCGCGTTTACAACGGTACAAAAATACCCGCGAATTCCCTTGTCCGACGTGTTAAAAATACTGTTTGTAAACAGGAAAAACACTACTAGATCCTAGTAGTTTCTGATTTCTCGTATTGGACTAGTTTTCTTGACAGAATCACTATTTCACTGCACGAACTTTGGCGATATATTTGCGTTGCGATTAGTTAGTCATATGATGATATCGTTTGTAGTAATTTACAACGTTCTACAAGGTTGAAGTAATATAGCCTAATATTTTTAAGTAGCGTAAGCGCTTCGAGTTGCGCTTGGCGAAGCGTTAAATTATTTGAGCCAATGCTGGATCATATTTGTACAGACCAGATTTTAGTTTCTTGTAAAAGCATAAAGTTTTTCCGTTTGATTATACGTTGTAAATACTGAAATAGTTATCTACGTGCAATATCAGAAAGTGGTATATTAGAGGGCGAGCGTGCAGGTTTCAGAGCGACGTGACGCGGAAGGCTGTAAATATATTTTCTGAGTGTGGCGAGTACAATATTTTTTGTACTGCCGCCAATAGAACTAAGTACAATAGAATATTTGTTGGTCATAAATTTATATCGAATATATAACTTATCTGTTATTAATATTTCTGTTGAAAGGTACAAATGCTTATATTCCAGTCAAATTAGGAATCATAATATTTGTTATTTGTGTCATCAATAATACTGGGTGCGTCTTTGCAAGTTTCAGGTTGGGCTTGATTATTTTCTACATTAAGAATGTTATTTACTGTGTTTACTTTATTCTTATAGACTAGGCGGTATCTGTTTTGGTTTGGGTGAATCGTATATCCACGGAGATTTTTGGCTTTCAAATATCACTAGAAATTAAAATTTTTCTATGAGCATAAAAAACGTAGGCTTAACTTTTGGCAGCATAATATGTTAAAAAAATTCGAAAAATGTCATATTTTTCTTCCTATTTAATAATTATGTATCTTTTCAAGTTGATTTTAGGCGAAAATGGAAGAGGAAAAAAATGTTTATAATTAAATTTTTTACGAAATATGACTAGTTACAAATCGAATGCATCATTATTATTATTGTAAAAATCGAAAAAATCGCCAGAAATGGGATTAAAAAACATTATTAGGGAATTTTTTGGGGTCTTTAAATTGGGTATAGGACCTTCATACTTGACTCAAGAAAACTTCATGTTATGTAGAATTATCATACCAAATTTCATCAAAATCGGTTCTATAGATTTTGCATAATAATTTTGCAATCCAGATTTTGAAAAGAAATTGCAAATTTTCAAACTTTGCGCAGCAAAAACCAAGGCCCTTAGATACTTGAAAATTTAATCACATATAGAAGGGCTCTCAAGGTTTCAAACGCTTTTTGAAAAATTCGAATCCGTCAATTAGGAGAGCTCTGGCGCTTGTTTGAACATTGGGCGAATTTTTGTACTTTAAACGATTAGAATAACTTTTTGAACATTCAATCAAATCAAATTTTTTAAAGCAGGTTTTAAAAGTTATTAAGTATGAATAAAATATTATTGATTTTTAATAATTAATTTATTAATTTAATCATCATTTCTTTTGTGATTAAACTATAATTCAAATATTATTTATTGTTTAAAATATAAGCAAATGAGAAATTAACTCATTATATTACTAATTTTCGACATACATATTTTGAAAATAATTGTTGTTTAAACAATTTTAAAATATTTAAATAAATTTGTTTTTGATCTTTGATAAACAGAATATAAGTTTATGCACTTACCTTTGATACAATAAAAAAATAAAGTTTAAATTAAAGGTTATTAAAGGAAGTTTTATTTTTTAAATTGCGAGACATCGATTTAAAAAAAAAATCATCAAAATCGAACTTCTAGAAGCTGAGATATTAAAAATGTTTAAGCGCGTCGCGGTTTTGAACTCGCCGATTTAATTTCGAGCAGGCCGAAGCGGCCGCGCTCTCTGCTTCCCCCACCACCACCACCCGTACGATTTTCTTGAATTTCTCGCTTGCATAAATAACTTTAAACACGTTTTACAGTAGGTCGCCAATGAAGAAAAGTATTGCAAATTTAGACCTGGTAAGTACTCGGAATATCAATGGTATTTTTCAAAAAATTTGCCCGAATGTTCCAGTACATTTAGTGTAAATGACGGTTAACTTTGATCGGCTATAACTACGTAACTAATTGACCAATCGATCTGTATTTTTTTTAAGAAGCGTCTTTCCAATAACTTTTAAAACCTGCTTTAAAAAATTCGACCAATGTTTAAACAAGCGCCAGAGCTCTCCTAATTGACGGATTCGAATTTTTCAAAAAGCGTTTGGAACCTTGAGAGGCCTTCTATATGTGATTAAATTTTCAAGTATCTCAGGGCCTTGGTTATTGCTGTGCAAAATTTTGAAAATTTGCAATTTTGTTTTTCAAAATCTGGATTGCAAAATTACTATGCAAAATCTATAGAACCGATTTGGTGTGATAATTCTACATAACATGAAGTTTTATTGAACCAAGTATGAAGGTCCTATACCCAATTTAAAGACCCCAAAAAAATTCCCTAAAAGTAATGTTTTTTAATCCCATTTTTGGCGATTTTTTCGATTTTTACAATAATAATCATGATTCATTCGATTTGTAGCTACTCATATTTTGTTAAAAATTTAATTACAAACATTTTTTCCTCTTCAATTTTCGCCTAATATCAACTCTTGAAAACATACATAATTAAATAGGAAGAAAAATATGACATTTATCGAATTTTTTTAATATGTGCCGCCAAAAGTTGAGCCCACGTTTTTTTTATGCGCATAGAAAAATTTTCATTTCTAGTGATATTTGAAAGCCAAAAAGCCAAAAATCTCAGTGGTGGATATACGATTCACCCAAATATGGACATTTTGAAACAGATATCGTGTGGACTATTAATAAAATTATCGCTTTAAAAGAAATTACATTAAATGGAAATAGAAATAAAACGTAACTTTGCTGTACCTACTTATGACATTTTACAGCTGTTTTTACAGAGTTCCAAAATAATAGGATTAATAGTTTTTAACCTAACAAAATAACATTTCGCATACTGTACCGATAATATATTCAACCTGAGCACACCCGCTTATCGTGTACAAAAAGAGGAATCACCAGTTCTGCATAGTTTCGCTTCTCTTTATATCAGTGTTCAGCTTAGGTGTTTCATTTCGTGTTATATGCATGCAAGTGGGGAAGGGGTGTTATTATTTTCACATTTTACCTTTTTCAGTTTTCTAGTGTGTTTTTAAAAATTGTGTGCTAGCAGTCAATCTGTTAATAATAATCGGTAATAATGGTCGTAAACAAGCGAATTTAACAGCTCAAGAAAGTCGTATGATAAACCATGTTCTTGAAAACAGTTGTAAGTACACAACTTCTTCTGAGAAATTGGAACTATATCGTTTTTGGGCTTCTACCCGCTTGATACACTCTACCAAAAAAAGCTCACGAGACACAAAAATATTAGGTATTTGAAAATGGTCTATCTAAATATAATGCGTAAAAGACAATGCGACAATGTAAATCACTTCTTTTATTAAAGTTGGAACCCGTTATGCCTTTTAATTCTGACATCACTGGTTAGTTTTCGTTCAAATTTTACATGTGGGTAGCTACTGTGAAAGAACTAAACTAACAAGTTTGAAACTTACATCTTCAATAAGTCTTGGGTAATTGATCAAAAATTGTAACTGTATTTAACGGGTTATTGAAACGTTTAGTATCGTTTTCGGAAACATTGTTACTTTTGTTTATTTTGACGAAATCAGCCCTAATTGCCTCAAGTCACTGTTTCACCTAATATATCCTAGGTATCTTTTAAATTTCTATTTTCATATCAGCAGCACGAGTATGAAATACATTTTAAACGTGGTCCTCGTTTAACGACCCCATTTTCATAATTTCCGTTGGCTTTACGCCAGGAACTTTTTTGAGAAATTAGCTTTAACACTTTGTGACAAGCAAATTTATTTACAGGAATATGATATTACGGAAAGTACTCAAATATGAGAAATCGGAAGAGAAACGTCACTTTAGAATTAGTCATTATTGACGTCTCTAAATTTTTCAACTTACCTACGCACTCGGCAGGTATCAAAGTAAATTCAGTATTTGGGTAAATATGTTATCAACATAATAAAAAGTGTTTTCCACAAATGTCTGTACCCTTCCCAATAAAGCTTTCTTGGGAAATATTCAAATATGGTTTGATTTTGACTATAAAATATAGATTGTAAGATAACTGTTGAGGAATTTCAAATAGACATTTGTCGAGATAATCTGAAGATAAAATAAGTTTATTTGTTTGTCCCTTTGTTAATGTATATAATTTCATTTGATTAATTTTGTTTCAATTTTAGCATTTGCATTTAGAAGTAAAGCATATATTATCGGGTGTTTCAAAATTCACGCTAGATTTGCTGGAAGCATCATTGGACCATTCTTCTTCAAAAATGCGACTGGTCAGGCAATAACAGTTAATGGTGTTCAGTGCTCCCTATCGCGATATGATAATCCAGTTTTTGTACTTAAATTGGAAAATATAGGCGACATGTTGTTTCAACAAGAAATTTCAATAAATTTAAAGGAAATGCTATTTAAATATTAATCACTTAACACTTACCAGAGAGTAAAGTATCTTCATCTCCATCGTGTCTAGTTAATATACCCCTATTACTCATATTACACTTCAACATCACTTTCCTTACTTTACATCATTTATAATTGTTGTGTCACTATCAAAAATATGTCATTCGAGCCGTAGGAATATTCGATCGAACGATTCCGGATTATTTTGAATTTTGCAAGTTTGGATTTGTTACTCTTCTCATTTTGAACATTTTGTAAAACCAATCTGACCAGTCAATCTCATTTTAAAAACTGTCGTTTGTATTAATAAGAGTCACATGCTTCGGCCATTTACATACTAAATAATCAACTTTTAGATGTCACTTCATAATAAATAAAATACGGAATGAAGCACGTAGTTGTTATTTTTTCATGTCCCATAAATATATTGTTTTATTATTTCAAGGTTGTACAAGTTGTTTTGTGCATTTGATTTACTTTCCTTACAAAATTTTTAACTATATATGTCAACCAGATGATATTTC